GCATTGGCAGGCGGATTCTCAACCACTGCACCACCAGGGAAGTCCCCAAAGTGAAGATTGATAATAGTCTTATATACATATTTTCATGTACTAGTAAAGGTGAACTATTTTCCATATGTTTTAAAATATTTACTTTCTTGGTTCCCTCACCTTTTTTTATTGGGATGGAAAGCTTTTCCAATTGTGTTATAAGGGCTCCGTATATTTAAAGTACTCTTTGCCTTTCATAAGTGGTGTGCGTTTATTCCCAGTTTGTCATTTAATTTCATTCGTGCTTTTTCATTACTGTGGATATTCATAATTTTTATGTGGAGTATCTGCCAATTACTTCTTCATATGGTCTCTCTATTTTTAGTGCCTGAAAGCCTTTGGGGGGGGGGTGGGGAGGCTTCCAGTTTTTTATTTTTATATTCTTTATGATCAAGGATCAGAATCTAGTTTTATTTCTAAGTAGTTAGCCAGCTGTATCAGGCACATCAGATGAAAGTCATCTTTCTTTTTCCCCATTGATTAGGGTTCTGTTTTTTTTCATGTAGATTAAAGTTTTAGGTATACCACATTTTGTTTCTGGACTTTTTCTTCTCTTCTGTGTTGGCCTGTTTTTGTTCCAAAGCCACATTTCTGATTTTGAAGCTCTTTTCTCAGATGGTCACCTTACTAATCTGTTAAACATTTTCTTGCAGTTCTTTATGTGTCATTAATATTACTGATGACTCATATCACCATAAAGTGATTGAAACACTTAGATTTTTAAAAAATTGAAATAGTGTTATCTTTTCTGATAGTGAAGTATATCCACAGTTGATAACAAGCTGGTTTAAAAAAAGTAGGAAGAGCAACCCATTAGAAAATAGAAAAATAGGCAAAGAAAATAAGCGAGCCTCTTAAGACAAAACCCAACTGGCCAATAAATTCACGAAGAGATGTTCATCGAGGTAAAGGGAGTTACGCTCCCGTGATTGCTTCATACCCACAGTGTTGCTAGAACCTTAGATATTTGACAGTGCCCAGTGTTGTTGGCAAAGGTGTATGGAAATAGGCGTGCCAACGTATTGCCAGTGGGAGCGTACTTTAGGTACTCCACTTGAAGAAAGATGTGGAAATACTTAAGGTCGGTCAAGATGTATGTTCCCAATGTTCCCTCTACACAGCCACTCTGGAGGCACTGTTACACGTGGATGGGGTGACAGAAGAGAGAGTTCACTGAGCTGGGAAAGACCTAAACATTATGACAGAAGAATAATTCTATGAAATTGTATACATTAAAGTCAATGAACTAGACGTACGTATATCAACGTGAATAAATCTTAACTAGAATGGTGCATATAAGGCAAGTTTAACATTTAAATACTTACAAAACAGTGCTGTCATTTCAGGCTATATTTGGATGTAGTGGGAGTTTAAAAGCCATGCATAGAATATTAAACACCAAATCCACCTTCCTCTAGGAAGGTCTGGGAGTGGGACTGGGGTCGGGAGAAGCTCAGAGGAGACCATAATCCCACCACACCCTTTCAAAGAAAACCTGAAGCAAAGACTGTTACCTATTAATAGTTCATACATCTTACTAGCGGGTACATGGGTATTTCATTTCAGGATTTTTTGGTTGTTTTTTTGGCCGTACCACTCAGCTTGCAGGATCTTAGTTCCCCTACCAGGGATTGAATCTGGGCCACTGCAGTGAAAGCGCTGAGGTCCTAACCACTGGACCACCAGGGAATTCCCCAGTTTTTAATAATATTAAAATATAAATGATATGTGCTTAGGTAGGTCTTCAGACACTAGAGAAAAGCATAAAGAAGGAAAGAAGCCTCACATATGATTCTGCAAAACATTGTGTTCTACGTTCTTTACACACATTTTTGCATGCATCTCTAATGATTTCCTTAGGAACATTTCCTAGAAATAGAATTACTGGATCACAGTGTATGCTTCTGCTACATTCTCCCAAATATTGTTCAGAAATGTGCAGTTATTTCCAACCGTGTATAAAGGCCTGTTTTCCTACATCCCTAAGTACCCAGAGGAGTATCACACTTTTAATCTTTTCTGATCGAATGGACTTGGGCAAAAAAAAAGTATCAATAAGTAATTGTAAACATATGCCTGTGGTAACATAAACGTGCGACTATTGAATTTTATTTATATCCCAGATGACTGACATTTTAAGACAATGTGTGTTTAGCAAGATTTCTAGGGGCCCATTAGAAAGCTTTTAACCCAGCAATTCCCAATCTTGACCTCTTGTCACAGTCACTCGTGAGGCTCTTCAAAATATTTTTCCTTGAAAGGGTAATGCTACTTCATAATTCAGAAGACACTAGGTGATATTACTGAAGCAATATTAAATTTCTCGGTTGTAGAGCAGTTTTTTTTTCTTTTTTAATATATTCATCTATTTATTCATTTAAGAAACATTTCTTGAAATCTGTTCTGTGCCAGGTATTGTGTTGGGCATTCAACGTACATTATCTCTTAGCCCTCACAATAATACCACCTTTCTATCTATTGTTAGCAGTACTGTTATTATCAGTTAGCAGTACTATTATTTTTTTTTCACACACACACACACACACTGTATTTTATTTTTACAAGAGATAAATAAACTGACAGCAAGCATTGTAAATGGATGACCACAACAAAAGCAACAATGATTGCAATTACCAAACACGAAACACACACATACTCTGTCATAATATTGACATTCAGTCCAGGAATCCTCCACTGTAACAGCCCGTTTACTTTGCGGTGAAAATTGATTTGTATATTTTTGGCCTTGTAGAGCAGTTTCTTGACCATGGCTCTGTTGACATTTTGGCTGGGTAGTTCTTTGTCGAGTTGGGCCGTAGGGGTGTGTTGAGCAGCATCCTTGGCCTCCACCCTCTCGATGCCAGTAGTGCCCACCCCTCAGTGGTGACAAAAATGTCTCCAGACATTGCCCGATATCCTCTGGGTGCAGAATCAATCCGCTTGGTTGAGAGCAACTGTGCTAAAAGAATTGTGCTGATGTAGGAGAGTAACATCTTTCTTCGGAGATACACTCTGTCACATGTTGGGGTAACAACCTGTGATACCTGCAACTCCCCGGATATCCAGGAGAATGAGTGAACATACCCAGTCACCATATATGTGAGAGGGGGAAATGTGACAAAAGGGCCAAATGTTCATTTATTGACTCTAGTTGAACAGTGGTGTATCCTTCATGTTCATTGTATTACTCTCTAGGTTTAATTTAAAAAATTAAAAAGCACGTATGTGGGGGAGGAAGGGTCCAGAGGTACCAGAGGAGATGCATTGAAAATTCTCCTTACCCAGGTCCCCACCCACCCATCTACCCACCAACCCCCACACCTGGCACCTGGCCCCCGGGCAACCGTATGGCAGTAACTGGTAATATTCCAGAGATTTAGATGCAAGGACATGTGTTTAAAATATTGTGAATTCTTTTTCTTTTTTTTTTAAAAAAAAGAAAAAACAGATGTTAGTATATTATACAGAAGTACTGTGGGTTGCATTTTTACCCCCAAATTTTATTTTGAAGTCCTTTTCAATTAACTGTATAAAGGGCTTTTTTTTAAAAAGACAAAAAGCAAACCCAAATGGAATTTTATTTTAAATGTTTTGTGATTGAAACACTTTGCAGAAAACCTGTGCTTGTTAAGCCAATATATAATGACATGCTTAGTAGAAATAATACATGTATGTATTTCTGTTCTTCTGGGATTAGAAGGTACAAACAGAAATGTCAACTAGACCAGTAGTTGTTCATCTTTTCACTTTTTTTTTTTTTTTGCGGTACGCGGGCCTCTCACTGTTGTGGCCTCTCCCGTTGCAGAGCACAGGCTCCGGACGCGCAGGCTCAGCGGCCATGGCTCACGGGCCCAGCCGCTCCGCGGCATGTGGGATCTTCCCGGACCGGGGCACAAACCCGTGTCCCCTGCATCGGCAGGCGGACTCTCAACCACTGCGCCACTGGGGAAGCCCCATCTTTTCACATTTTACTTCTCCCAGATATTCTATCAGACGATCAAGTTTCCAGATTATTACGAACAAAACAAATAATTTTTCAATGGCATTTACATATACCACCAATTGTCATATTAGTATTTAGAGGAAATTTGAGAACCTAGCTTCATGCTCTAACTGGCTAAGAATTACATTTCCATTTTGTAAATGACTTCTTTATTTTTGTGGGCTCCCGGTATTATGTGGATATGCCATCATTTCAGAAATTAAAATTAATTTTTGACACATTCTCATGGTTTATAACACAAAGTGTAAGAAAAGTCTCCCTCCTGCACGTAACCCTGGGGGTCCTAGCACCTTTTGCAGAAGCAGCCGACGGTCAAGACTTTTAGGTGTGCTGGGCACACAGGGACAATCTAGACAACCTCTGGCCGGGTGCTTTTTTCATGTAACAGTACACCTCGGAGGGCTTCCTACGCGGTACGGAGAAGCCCTTGTTCTTTCTAACGGGGGTGTGATCAGGCCTTGTAGGATGTCCTGTAGCTTACTTAAATAGTTCTTTGTTGATGAGCGTAGACCTTGCTTTCAGCTTTGACTATCATCTGTTAGCATCAGTGCTGCAGGGAAGGAGCTCCTACAGACCTCATGCTGCACATGTGCAAAATGAACTGTAGAAATGGAATCTCTGCACCAAAGGGTGGACACGTGGGTAATCTGGTGGACATTTGCCTGCCTGGGAGTTGTGGGTTGCAGCCTCCCCAGCACTGTGTAGGAAGGCCTGTTCTGTACATCCTTGGCCACCCTGTGAGGCATCCACTGTTTGGATTCTGCCGAACCAGATGCATCCAAGGTGGGCCTCAGGCTAGAACTAGGGAATCAGTGTGAGCTCTGGAGCAGCCTGTCTGCTTTTTCTTTCTCCCATCTGCACGTGTTGCTGGGGGCTCTCCCTCAACCCCGTCTTCCTTCCCACTTGTTTGTAGCATCCCTCCCCTAGCTTGTCCCTGGATTGAGGTGTACCTGTTCTGTGGTTTCAGAACCGGGTTTCTTCTTTCAAGGATATGATCTTCTGCTTCTCAGAAGAGGACTGGTCCCTTCTAGACCCTGCCCAGACTGGCTTCTACGGAGAGTTCATCATTGGGGAGGACTGCGGCGTCTCACTGCCTCCAGGTAAGACTTAACTCTCCTCTCTCCTGAGACCAGGGATCTAGGGGGCCCATGTCTGACCTCACTGTTCACCCCCAAACCCTGATGGGAGGTCACCTGTACACAGTGGCCCCAAGGCCACTCTGCAGGTTGACCATTGCCTGCTGCTGTGACGTGTAAGTTAGGCTTGTTAGCTGCCTGTTTTGCATACAAAACCAAATATAACTTGTGTCCCTTGCATTTGCTTTTCTTCTATCATTCTTGTTCTATGGATCTCTTCATTGCTGTTTTTCTAACTGACAGGCCTGAAAGAGTTGCCCCAGGCCCGCAGCTTCCCCTTTAGTGTCCTCCCTCCCCATCCCTCTCCCTGCTTGCTCTGGTCTTTCCACTTCTCTGTGGCCCTGTGTGGCCCCTGTTGGTGTCATGGCCTGTCACGTGTCCCTCCAACTTCTCTCTTCTCTACCTGTCCCAGAGTTGCCTGGGACAGGCAGCTTCTCTCTCCTCCCACCCTGGTTTCCTGTGGGAGCAGGTCACTGATGAATGTGTATCCTTCCCTTTTCTGTGAATAGATGACCCAGCTGCCCAGCTGGATCTCTCCCAAGGAGAGGAGAATGAGCCACGTGTTCCAGAGTTGCAGGACCTCCAGGGGAAGGATGTGTCCCAGGTCTCCTACGCAGGTGAGTAAGTGATACCAGAACTTGGTGAATAGAGCGGGATGGAAGGCCGCTGCCAGCCAGAGGCAGACCTGCTCCCTCTGCCAATTTTCTGCAGCCCTCTGTCACCACTGGACCATGTCTTGGTAGGACAAGTCTCGCCTCGTCCCTCATTCCTTACAGGAAGAATATGGGGATTTTAATTTTGCCAGGTGTGGGGATTGCACTTCATCAACCAGGAACTAGGGTGTAATAGGAATATCTTTCTCCTCTGCTATATCTGACACCTGGCTTGTGCTGACAACCCAGTGGCCCCTCTACCAGTGAGGTCACATGCTCTCCAGAGGTCAGGTAGGGGAGGAGGAGGGTGTGCCACCTCTTGGCCGGGCACTGGGCACAGTGCCTCTGACCGCTTCACCTGTCTACTCCATCCAGCCACATACTGCAGGTAGTGTGAGGAAAGTGAGGCAGGGGGTGGTGCTGGGGCTTGGTTGACATGACACAGTTCAGCAGCAGCATTTCCCAGCCCCCTCCCCGCCCCCAGCTTTCCGTGTCACCAGAGCTTGTGTTTGTAACCACTGTGCTGTAATGCCTCAAGATGTCTGCTCCTTCGGGGGAAAAAGTTCTGTACGGTGCCATCAGCAGACCCTTGACCCCTTCCCCTTTGGGACCTAAAGCCGGCACAGAGCAGGTCCGTATTTCACTCACTATCCCCACCGGGAACAAGCATCCAGGGCCTCTGGTGTGGCTAGCTTCCCATCCCGTCTCTACCCCAGCAGGCCCTGTCCAGGCTGCGTTTATGCAGCGTCTGCGTGGAGTACTGGAAATCCCACCACAGAAAATGGAAATGACAGCAGGGATGGCAGTTACTTGTCCACAGTCAAGTGGAAGGGGCAGAACCAGGATCCACATTCCTTCTATCTAGCTTCAAAACCCACGTTCGTGGTGTTGGCCCATTTTGCCTGCAGATTCATTTGCTCAACAGACATTTACTGAGTGGCTGCCCTGAGAGGGAGCCTAGGCCTACTCTTGGATCACAGCCTGGCATCTGTTAAGATGCAACCCCCAGGTGGTGCTGCAGCTGCAGGGAAAATCAATGTTTTCATTTTCTTCTCTGGAAAGACTTTCCAAGTCTCCAGCCATTCCAGACAGAAGAAAGAAGGAAACGGGATGAGCCGCAGGTGCCGGAGTTCCAAATCTGCCAGCAGACGGTGCTCCCGCCAAGCACCTGCCCAGGTAAAGGAACGCCTGAGAGGGTGCGGGGGAGTGTGCCCCTGGCTGTGTGATGTGTGGCTTGAGTGTACATATGTGTATATGTGGTGTGTGGTGTGTGTGCGAGCTTGTGTGTGCATGTAGCGTGGGGCTGTGGTATGGCCTGTGGTGATGGCATGTGTGATGTATGTATAGTGTGTCTGGTGTGTTGCGTGTGTGAGCGTACGTGTGTGGTGTGTGGTATGTGGTATGCATGTGAGCATGTCTGCATGTGTGTGGGCATACACGTGTGAGTGTGGTGTTTATGTACGTGGTGTGTGTGTGGTGCGTGCATGTGTGTATAATGTCTGTGTGAATGTATGCGTGCATGGTGTGTGTGTGTGTGCATGCGTGTTGGGTATGTGTATACATTTGTGCTGGTGGTAGGTTCAGGAATTGAACTTTCTGAAATTCCTGCTGACAGTTCCTTGCCAACTGCCTGCCCTAGTTTTGTTTTGCTAGGTTCTCTTCCAGCTCACTCGTAATCTGAGACCCTCCCCTCCTTGCCTTTCTCTTGTGGGTTGAGTCAGGGTGCTGATGTAGTGCTGTTGACCACCTAGTTTGTGTATCTCTTCCCTGAGCAAGGAAGACCAGACTCCCCGGACAAAGTGTTGGAATTAAAGAACAGGTTTACAGAATGCTGAAAGGGGGACCTCTGGAGAATGTGCTCCAACTGCCCTCGGCAGCATTTAGACTCCAAGTAATGCTGGTAAAAGTTGCCACCTCCAGAGGCGAAGACTAAAATCCCGCCATATTTAATGTCCTCAGTGTTCAGCCATTCTTCCAACTATCACACCCAAGTCTCCGGTCCTCACTTAAACCCACTGTGTCATGGAGGACTTTTTGCAGCTATCAAGACTGACTCGTGCACAATCCGTGATGCCTTTTGGAAGCAAGATTTGCATGATACTTTGGTGTTTCCACCTACCACCGTGCAGGGTTCATGACCATTTGTGTTCGCCCCCTCTCCTGTGTAGACAAAAGGGATTTTACGCTTATGTAGATCTACAGTCGATCTGCACGGACAGTACTCCGTCCCCACAAGCTTTGATGCTCACCCCTGGTTTTCTAAGGAGCTTGCTTCTGTATGCTGAGGAGGATTTTTCGTGTGTAGCCCATTCTCAGTTCTGCCTGATGAAAGCTTGATTCTCGAGATACATTTTGTTTTATGTTTTGTTTTTGTGGCCACGAGGCACGTGGGATCTTAGCTCCCCGACCAGGGAGTGAACCTGCACCCTCGGCCTTGGAAGGTGAAGTCTTAACCACCAGACCGCCAGGGAAGTCTCTCGAGATACATTTAGAATCCTCTTCAGCCTCTTCCTGCCCGCAGCATGTCTCAGCCCTGGCAGCATCCTTATAGAATGTGGATAGTCATTAATCCCCAGGGGAGTTTTTTAGCTCCACTCTCCCTTTGCTGGGCTCTGACACAGAATATACTTTGAAATGGCAAGAAGCTAAGGGTTGCTATCTGAGATCAGTGAGAGATGATAGATTGCAAAGAATAGGCACCATTTTTCTTTTGGTAGCCTTGCCCACACTTCTGACAGCAGGTGAAGGGTCCACATCCACGCTCATGAGGGACCCTCCCAACTGGTTCCATTCGTGTCAGTCCAACCAGCACATTATAAAGCTGCCACTGCGATGGAATATCTTTATTTTTAATTTATTTATTTTATTTTTTTTGCTGGGCGGGGGAACTGCGTTGGGTCTTCGTTGCTGCGCGCAGGCTTTCTCTAGGTGAGGCGAGCGGGGGCTACTTGTCAAGCAGGTGCACCTGCTTCCCACTGCAGCGGCTTCTCTTGTTGCGGAGCACGGGCTCTAGGCACGTGGGCTTCAGTAGTTGTGGCACACGGGCTCAGTAGTTGTGGCATGCAGGCTCTAGAGCGCAGGCTCAGTAGTTGTGGCGCACGGGCTTAGTTGCTCAGTGGCATGTGGGATCTTCCCGGACCAGGGCTCGAACCCATGTCCCCTGCATTGGCAGGTGGATTCTTAACCACTGCCCCAACAGGAAGCCCAGAATATCTTTTCTTGTTTATTGTGTTTTTTCTGTGAATTGCCTAGTTAATACTCTTTAGTCCTTTTTTTCTTTTTTGCCCCTTCCCCCTTCACATTTGGTAAGCTCTATGTCTTTATGTCCAAAGCACTGCACCAGTGTAAGGTCTTTACATGATTTGTGCGTTATATCCATACCGCACCTTCTGAGATAGATACTGTCTCAGCCAGCACAGGCTACTATAGCAAAATACCATAGAGGTATTTTCTATTAAACAATAGAAATTTATTTCTCACAGTTCTGGAGATTGAGAAGTCTGAGATCAAGTCAACAGCAGGTTCATTGTATGGTGAGGGCTCTCTTCCTGGGTTGTAGTTGACTGCCTTCTCCCTGTGTGCTTGTATGACCTTTCCTCGGTGCATTCTCATGGAGACAGAGCCCTTGTCTCTTCCTCTTCTTATAAAGGTACTAATCCCATCACAAAGCTCCCACCTTCAAGACCTCATATAAACCTAATTACCTTCCAAAGGCCCCACCTCCCATACCATCACATTAGGAGTTAGTGCTTTGACATACAAATTCTGGGGGGGGGGACACAAACTCTTGGCCCATAACAGGTACTATGACGTCTCCATTCTGCAGCTGGGACCCCCAAGCTGAAGTCTCTTGCCCAGGCAGCGTCTGACACTCACAGGCTGAGTATCAGACTGAGGATCTGAACCCATGTTATAGGGCTCCAGGCCCATGCTCTTAATTCCACATTCGCTTGCCTTTTCCATGAATTAGTAGAAACTCAAAATTGTGGGTCTCAATCTGTTGCCTCTTAGTATTTGTACGTAATTCCTCCTGTTTTTTAACTTTGTTTATGTGTCTTTTAGGACATAAGTGGTTTTCTAAAAACGTTTTTAGTATGTAAATGCAGTTATTCATCTCTTTTTTGATTTTGTGTCTTGCTTAAGAAAGCCTCCCCATCCTAACATTATAAGAATATATTAGTTATAATGCGTTTATTTATTTATTTTTTTAAATCTAGCTTCCTGTCCTCCCTGCTTCTCTCCTTAGCACCCCGAGCTGACAGGGACTGATTCATTCCCAGGCCACAGATTGCCCTTCTTGAGGAGTTAGCCATCAACCTGGTCATGGGCTTTTCCCCCCTGAAAACACACAGCAGCCTGGTTGTTCCCTGGCCATGGAACAGCATAGCCAGAGGCTTTGGTATGCAGCACCCACCCCCCCCACCCCAAGTTGAGCTCAATTCCCCTGAACCTTGATCTACTCTATCTCTCGGTTTTAAATTTTTCTCCTGTAAGACAGAGATAATAGTCATAGCTTCCTTGTGGAGTTATTATTGTTGAGGATTAAATGACTTAATACATGTAAAAGCACTTACACCAATAACTTCCCTGTTTTCTCTACCATTATCCTCACAGCCAATTCAGCCTCCCTCTGCCCTTCTCTCCACCCGCCGCACCCCTTGCAGTCATCAGTGCTGAGCTGAGACAGCCCTGGTGTTACTCTTTCTCTGTGGTGTTTTGGGCAACACATCTGTGAGTTTCATCTCATCTGCTAGGAATTCTTTACACTGTTGTGTCAATGGCACACAGCACTATTGTTGATTTATTTCCCCCTTTTTAGAAACTATGCATCTATTTTTGGTCACTTCATCTCTTTTAAGGGGATGTCATCCTATATGCACTGTGTTAGTCTCCTAGGACAGCTGTGATAAAGTACCACAGACTGGGAGGCTCGAACAACAGAAATTGATTTTCTCAACATTCTGGCAGCTTAGAAGATTGAGATCAAGGTTTCAGTAGAGTAGGTTTCTCCTGAGGCCTCTCTTCTTGGCTTGTAGATAGCTGTCTTCTCCCTGTGTTTTCACATGCTCATCTCTCTGCATGTCTGTGTCCTAACCTCCTCTTCTTACAAGGATACCTGTTGGATTAGGTCCTGCCCTGTTGACTTCATTTTAACTTAATTACCTCTTTTTTTAAAATTATTTATTCATTTATTTAATATTTGGCTGCATTGGGTCTTCGCTGCTGCATGCGGGTTTTCTCTAGTTGCTGAGAGCGGGGGCTACTCTTTGTTGCAGCATGCGGGCCCAGTAGTTGTGGCTCACAGGATCTAGAGCGCAGGCTCGGTAGTTGTGACGCACGGGCTTAGTTGCTCCATGGCATGTGGGATCTTCCCGGACCAGGGTTAGATCCCGTGTCCCCCGCATTGGCAGGCAGATCCTTAACCACTGTGCCACCAGGGAAGCCCCCACTTAATTAGCTCTTGAAAGACCTTATCTCCAAATATCGTCACATTCTGAGGTGCTAGGGGTTAAGACTTCAACATAACGTATTTTTAAGAGGAGGAGGATGCAGTTCAGCCTATAACACTTCACCCTCTGTTCCCCCATGATTCATGCTTCTCATACGCAAAATACATTCACCCTATCCCAACCCTCCTTAACCTATTCCAGCATCATCAAGATTTCATCTAAATCAGGTTTGGGCGAAATTCAAGGCGTGCTCACTTCCAGCTGTGAGCCTGTGAATCCAGACATCGAGTTATGCGCTTCCAAAATGCAATGGTAAGACAGGCAGAGAGCAGACACACTCATTCCAAAAGGGAGAGATTGAAAAGCAGGGAGGCTGATGGCTCCCAAGCAAGTCTGAATCCTAGCAGGGCAAATTCCGTCAGATTTTAGGGCTTGAGATTCATCTTTGGCTCAGTGCTGTGTCCACACTCCACAGTCCTGTCAACCTCTGAACTGCCTTTGGGGCTGGTCTTCCTTTTCCTTCAAGGTTGACGCATGTTTGCGGCCAGATAGCTCTATTAGTTTGTTCTGGAAGTCTGAGAGCCTTCCTTCAGTTCATCCTGTCTCCTTCCTTTTTATTCCAAGATGGCAGTGTTTCGGCTCATATAATGTTCTTAGAAACACTGTAGGCCTCCCATGCAATTTACAGTAGTTCAGACCATCAGACAAGAGGGTCCCCTACAGACCATTCCTGGATTATCTCATCTCCATTCCTGGCTTCCGAGAAGGTTGATTGGATCCAAGGTTGTCCTGCCACACCCATGGTGTTCTCCCCAGAATATACTTTCTCATTTTTTGCAGTATAGGTAGACTGAAAATTTTCTAAATCTTCAAGTCTTCCCTTCCCACTCCCCAGTCTCACATTCTACCCAGTCCCCCTCACACTTGTCTTGTGATGTATGGACAGATACCCCCATGGACTCTGGCCCTCCCATTGTCTCTCCTGCTCTCTGTGGCTTTGGGTCTTCCTGCTATCCTCTGTCCGGTTTCACCTGCTCTCACATTCCCTAAGCTGCCAGAACTCTCCTCTCTCCAGCAATTAAGTCCAGAATAACCATATTCCTACTAATATCTTGAAGGGCCTGGCACCACTGCCCCCCCCACCCCTGTTTTAGACCTGAGCCCCACATTTCACAAAAGTGAGGAAACAGTCCTGAGGAGAGCTGCGCAGTGGGCTCTGGGCTGCAGGCCAGGACTTCATACCAGGTTCCCCAGTGCCCACCCACGTCCTCCCCACGGTACAGCTTTCCAACATCACGGGCTTGGGATCCATTGAACGAGCTTCTTCTAGTCAGTTTATAAAGTGCAGGACATCTCTACGCATCACCACTAGTGGCTGTTGGTGGGCCTCTGATACGACACTGAGAGGGAGAGATGATCCTGGGCAGTCTGGGACCGTTGAACAGCTCTGACATCACAGCAGGGCTCAACTCCCCTTCAGCCCTGAGCCCTTGGGCACATCACCCGAGTTTGCCTATGTTTATAACGTGGCAAATAAGGTGTCACTGGGTGTGTCCAGGAGCAAATGGGACTGGGCACGTCAGAAGTCTTGCACAATCCCTGGGGCATTTAAGTGCTCAGAGTATGGTAGCTGGCAGCTTCCTGGCAGCCTGTTTATAGAATATAGCGTCTTCCTCTCTCTCAAGGCTTTTAATGTACCCTGACAGATTTTTCCCCATGCCTGGTTAAGGAAGTCAGGGTTACGTGATGTGTAAATGCTCGAGACTTACATGCTAACTCTTAGAGCTTGGAGGGGTCTCAGTGGCTAGAAAAAAAAAAAGATTGGGCCTGGGGGCTTAGGAGAAAAAGGTAGGGAAGAGGGAGAGAGGAGAAAGAGGTACCGAGGATACGTTGGCACAGTGTGGCTAAGGGTTTCCTTGCCACTAGATAACACCAGAGGTATCTGCAACCGGAAGATCCCTTGCAAAAATGTGGGTTCCTGGACCCACGCTGAACCTTCCTGGGTAGGGTTCGTAGGGGCTAGAGTGTGGCCTGGGCAGCACCACTGACCTCCATGTTGCTTTCTGGTAGCCGGAGGTGATGCACCATTTCCCGACAACAGCCTGGATGAGGAGGTGACCATCGAGATTGTTCTTTCCAGCTCTGGGGACGAGGACTCCCAGCTCGGCCCCTACTGCACAGACGAGCTGCAGAGCCCCACGGAGAAGCAGCACAGCCTCCCTACCTCCCACCGGAGCGGCCCTGAGTCAGGGGGTGAGGTGCAGACCTCCTCCAAAAAGTCCTATGTGTGCCCGAACTGTGGCAAAATCTTCCGCTGGAGGGTCAACTTCATCCGGCACCTGCGGAGTCGCAGGGAGCAGAAGCCACACGAGTGCTCGGTGTGCGGGGAGCTGTTCAGTGACAGCGAGGACCTAGATGGGCACCTGGAGACCCACGAGGTCCAGAAACCTTTTAGGTGCGGTGCCTGTGGGAAGAGCTTCCGCCTCAACTCCCACCTGCTCTCCCACAGGCGGATACACTTGCAGCCAGACAGACTCGAGCTACTGAAGAAGAGAGAGCAGGAGGCATCGGGGACCGTGGGCGGGGATTCCGACGCCCTGCTGGCAAAGGGCAAGGCCAAGCTGCGCTTCCAGTGCTGTGACTGCGGGAAGGTGTTCCAGCGTCCCGACCAACTGGCCCGGCACCGCAGTAGCACTCATGTGGACAAGTCCCGGCCCTTTCAGTGCCGGTACTGCGTCAAAAGCTTTTCCCAGAACTCTGACCTTCTCCGCCACCAGCGCCTGCACATGAAGCGCCGGTCCAAGCAGGCGCTGAACTCCTACTGAGTCAAGGGCGCACACCTTGTTGGGTGCAGCTCCAGCCTGGGTAGAGCACATCCCGCTCATGCTCGGTTCCAGACTCCTCCCCAGGACAGAGACCACATCCTCCTGACCTTTACTCTCAGGTAGAAATGAGATCGTGGCCAGTTGAGCATCTGTTCTGTCTCTGCTGTGCCAGAAGCTGGGAGGGCGTGTCACCACCAGCTTTGACTTGCCCAGTGTTATCGGGTCTAGGAGAACCCTGTCCAGTGCTTCCCAAGCGGTGGAGGGACTGGGGCGCCCCCTACTGCAGTGACCCCTTGTGGGGGGGGGGGGCGGTCTGTCCCTTACCAGCTGACTTTCAGTATACTCCCATTCTGTGCTGTCTGAATTCCCACCCCACCCTGAGGTCTGGAGGTAACTGTACTTTCTGCCTGACAGCAAGAAGCTGCAGATGAGGTGATGGGTTAGGAGGAAGGCAGGAAGGCGGGGTGGGACCCGTGGGCACAAGGGCAGTAGGGCCAAGCACACCAGACCATGTCATGTCATCAGAAGTCTGAGTCCTGGTCACCATCTGGTCCGCAAGAGCACCTCACAATTATGAGATGGCCCTTTCAGGCTCAGAAACCTTGGTGGGGGGCTTTATAGCTTCTTGCCAAATGGAAACCTTTTATTTGTGATGGTGGCTGGTTATTAGGGATTGTGAGCTCATTTAAGGCAAAGCCCACATTTTAAATTGTATGTTGGCACACACTCCCCAAAGTGTCCTTTCTTTGTACCCTGAAGGTCCTTGGTGTATGCTTGCGGGTTAGAAGTGAAGTCATCATCGTTTGAAAGGCACTTAAGTTTCCTTTCCCATTGGGTCGTGTCTAGGAAAGGGGAGCTCAGCTCCAGTGAATGAGAGGTTCTTTGGCTGGGTGAACTGAGCAGGGGAAACAACAGAACCCTTGGTGAAGTCATTCTCTACGTTATATATTAACTTAGTGTGCCCGTTGTATGAGTTCCTTAGGGCTGCTGTAACAAAGTACCAAAAACTGGATGGCTTAGAACAACAGAAATTCATCGTCTCAGTTCTGGAGGCCAGAAGTCCAAGATCAGGGTGTCAGCAGGGTTGGTTTCTTGTAAAGGAAGGATCGGCTCCATGCCTCTCCTTTAGCTTCAGTGGTTACTGACTATTGTTGATATCCTTTGTCCTGTTGAAGCATCACCCCATCTCTACCTTCATCTTTACATGGTGCTCCTGTGTATGTGTCTGTCTCCAAATTTTCCCTTTTTATAAAGACACTAGTCATTGGATTAGGGCCTACCCTACTGTTTCCACTATGTTCCCATCTTAACTAATTGTATCTGCAATAACCCTATTTCCAAATAAGGTCACATTCTGAGGTACTGGGGTTAGGACTTCAACATGAATTTGGGGGGGATGGGGAGACACAGTTTAACCCATAAAACTAGATAATCCTGAGGTTCTGCTGTCATTGCTTATTCACAGGTGAGTCAATACAAACTTGGGTTAGCTTACTCTCAGTTCTATTGGAAGCAGGATCCAGACCCAAGCTTCTGCTCCCAGGGTGGATGCCCTCTGCATATAGCCTTTAAATTTCATTGCCTGGGGTCCTGGGCTGGGAGTGACCACTGGTAGTGAAACCGCAAGCCATGAAAACCATGGTCTTGTTCCTGGCAGACTGGCCAGGTTGGCGCAGCTCAATGATGAGAAAGCACAGAGGCTATGGAGTATCAGTGACTAAATCAGAAAGCCAGCCACCAGGCATGCGTTATGTATTTGTATGTCAGGTCCCATTAGCAGGCAGTAAGGCTGGGCAAATGAATGCAAGGCCCTTTGTTCCTTGTCAGCCACTTCATTGTCACGTTGAGAGACACTGCTGCCACAAACTCAGTGAAAGAGTTACAAGGTTTTATAGTTACGATTACTGTGTGTAGATTCATCTACATACCCAGGAACAGTAAATGCAATAAAATAATTTGGTCATAACCCTGAACAAGAAATAAACTATTGAGGCTCTTTGTTTTCTACATAGTTTGCCTCTTGGATTGATCTGCCAGGAAAAGGGAAAAATATGAATCTCGAAGGCCAAGGGAGGGGAAAATTCCAAATAGAACCCAGATTCCGTGTACATTTACCCCACCCACCTGTGCACTCTTGCCCAAGGATTCCATTAAGAGGGGAGGTTATGATCCCAAGAGGAACACTACTCTACTTAGTGTATTTTATCTGAAAATCTTAAGTAAGAAAGAAAGGGAACGTGACAGAATCGAAACCTTTGGGGACGCTGTGCATCGTTCAGTACCCACCAGATATTGTGAAGGAGTCCCCCATTCACTTACGCAAACCTGACCAAGGTACTTAGCTAATCAGAAGGTTACCTTCCCCCTGGATTCGGAAACCCTACTGGGTGATGCAACTCAAATCCCAGGTTCTTCCCATGCAGAAGAATCAATGCGGTTACCTGCTCTGGAGAAAGCTCCTCCAGAAGATAGGAGAGCTGACCGACTTATTCCCTTCCCACCCTCCCTGGGTAGCTGGGCAGACAGGGGAGCTATGCTTCTACCTTGCCGTGGATGTTCAGAGACCCCACATCTGAAGAGCATCTGTCCTCCCTGTTCATCTGATCCCTTGGCATTGTTGCCATAAATTCACAGGTGCATAATAAAATTCGACTCACCGATTTCATATTTGCGTTTGACTTTTCATTTTAGTTTAAAAAGTAACAAGTAGCACAGCTGAGAGAGATGGTCGGTTGGCCTGACAAAGAGAAGTTGAGGTGGGAGGATGCTGAAAATGGCCCTCTGGATGTCAGGCATCACCTTGTGAAACTTCTGGGCCTCAGATAGATAGTTCTGGTCATCTGATCTGACTTCTCTAGAGGAGAGAGGAAGTAACTGCTTCTTTACACCAGGGATGGGATGAACTCCTGGTAACACCATAGCTGTTGCACCCAACCTCTGCCATTTTCATACAGCCTCTATCTCCTGACCTCTTGCCACGGCTGGGAAAAACAAAGATAAAGCCAGTGGTGGGAAGGAGGTCCCTTGCTATTCTTAAGTCAAATCATGGCACAAGTGGAAGAGAAGGCACAAGTCCGTGCCTACCTTGGACTTGGAGATTGGTCCTGGTTGCTTTTCTCCTGTGAGATAGTTTCCCTTCTCTACCAAAAGCAGGGTTTTGATCAGGCACAAACACTTCTGCTTGCAGCGTGATGGAGGGAATTTGATGACATTTTTGTCAATTCCCCAGTTCCATCAAATAAACCCAGGTGCATTTTCTATTAGTAACAAAAGTTGATACTGTTTTGTCTTATACGGAATGGTCAATGCCTACCAGTGCTCCAATGCAAACAAGTCTACAGATTAGGTAACATGCATAAGAAGGCAGCTTAGCCGGCAAACGAGCATTGGGAGGAAGACTGGATGACCAGGCTCTCCTGCAGCCCTGCCCCACACCTAAGGCACCCAGCATCTGCAGGCTGGCTATTAGGGATCATAAGTTCATCAAGGGCAAAGCCCTGGGGTTCCATCGTACCTTTTGACCATCCCATACAGATTAGGAATTTTATCCTCCCTCTAAACCATAGCCAACAACGAGAGCACCATGATCAATGTGCGTATAATCACCAAAGTGCACTGCAGTATTATGAATTCCCCATAAGACGCAGAACTCTCTTAAGAAATGGAAGAGCAGATTCACACATTAATGAGAAGGGCCAGTCTTCACTCGCGTATCTTGGCCATAGCTAAGGAGATCACAAGCAGATTGGTAACCCCCTCAAGACAAAGGGCTGTCTCCTCAGCACACAAATAAATGGCAGGGGATTGCCCTTTTCCCATCACCCGCTAAAAAACGGTTTGGTACAAGTCATGTCTGTACTAGCCTATTATGTACACGTCTTGCTACATCTTGTCAAAATGTAAAGGGGCCAGGATGCCTGCCCCGAAAACGTTGCAGGTCAGAAGAGGTGCAGACTTAATAGCTGGGGTAAATCAATCCCACCCAAATCAAGCTGGATCACCTTTGAAAGTGTCTGTGTGCTCTGAGAAGAGATGGGGGCCTGCTTCCAACCCACTGACGGTAAATTCAGAGTGATTTCTAGATTTTTTTAAAAATAAATTTATTGGGCTTCCCTGGTGGCGCAGTGGTTGAGAGTCCGCCTGCTGATGCAGGGGACACGGGTTTGTGCCCCGGTCCGGGAGGATCCCACATGCCGCGGAGCGGCTGGGCCCGTGAGCCATGGCCGCTGAGCCTGCGCGTCCGGAGCCTGTGCTCTGCGAAGGAAGAGGCCACAACAGTGAGAGGCCCGCGTACTGCAAAAAAAGAAAAAAATAAATAAATTTATTTATTTTTTATTTATTTTATTTATTTATTTTTGGCTGTGTTGGGTCTTAGTTGCTCCACGCAGGCTTTCTCTAGTTTCAGTGAGTGGGGGCTACTCTTCGTTGCGGTGCCCGGGCTTCTCATTGTGGTGGCTTCTCTTGTTGCAGAGCATGGGCTGTAGGTGTGTGGGCCTCAGTAGTTGTGGCTCGCAGGCTGTAGAGCACAGGCTCAGTAGTTGTGGCTCACGGGCTTAGTTGCTCCGCAGCATGTGGGATCTTCCCAGACCAGGGCTCGAACCCATGTCCCCTGCACTGACAGGCAGATTCTTAACCACTGCGCCACCAGGAAAGTCCTAGATATTTTTAAGTGTTTCTCTGAGTAAATATTTTGGAAAAGAAGATTTGGAGTGGAAAAGAGTATAAGCTCGTATTGAAATCATATCAACACAGCATCTTCAGCAAACAATGACTCGTCAAGTTGCAGGTAGGGGGTGGGGTTGCTAAGAGTGGCTGGACCAAATTCATCTTGGTCTCCTTTTTTACAACTCATATTTTTCTAAAATGGCTTGGCTGATGTCCAGATGATATTCTGTGGTCATGATCTAAAAATTTCACTAGCAACTTTCTTTTTTTTTTTTTTTTTTGCGGTACGCGGGCCTCTCACTGTTGTGGCGTCTCCCGTTGCGGAGCACAGGCTCCGGACGTGCAGGCTCAGCGGCCATGGCTCACGGGCCCAGCCGCTCTGCTGCATGTGGGATCTTCGCGGACCGGGGCACGAACCCGCGTCCCTTGCATCGGCAGGCGGACTCTCAACCACTGCGCCACGAGGGAAGCCCACTAGCAACTTTCTTTAACCATCTGCTCAAGAAGCCCAAAGTCTAACAGATGTGCATTCACCAAATTTATATAAGGAGAACCAGGTGCACCAGCAAAGATGGCCACTGAGATGAGGGATCCAGGGGCCTCAGCATCCTTAAGGCTGTCTCCTGTACCTGTGGAGATTTTCATGTAGCTGCCTTTGGTGACAGCAGAGAGCTTTGGCTCAGGCACACTCTCTGTCCTTTGAGAAGGTGCTAGGCAGGTGGGCAGTCTTGGGGTTCGGAGAGGGTAGGCATAGACCCACCTTGTAGTTGGGAAGGAGAGGGTGGACAGATACCTGGTATATTCTCTCAATGTTTTCTCCACTGCTAATCACCTGTTTACCTGTTTACATTGTCAGCTCAGTATCTGAATCAAAATGGGATATTGATAATGTGCGGTATAAGGTGCACCTTGTCAATTCTGCCCTCCCAAGAGAGACTGGACTCCTATTGGAGCAGGAGCTTGGAAACCAGCTTTTCCAGGTGCTGAGAAGAGCCTGCAGCTATCATAATGCCAATTCTCTGACACCAACTGGTTGTCCACTGTGGACAGGGAGTGTTGCCTGCCATTCTAGTAAACAAGGATCAAGCCATGGCCACGACAGCCCTGCCCCTCCCTCCCCGACTTGTGCGCCCTGAGGGGAATACAGGATAGAGAAAAACAGGGACTTCCCTGGCAGTCCAGTGGTTAAGACTCCGCACTTCCAACACAGGGGGTGTGGGCTCGATCCCTGGTTGGGGAGCTAGAATCCCACATGCCAAGGTTAGAGAAAACAGGAAGAATTGTGTGCTTTGGATACTGGCCCTATATAGTTAAGATGCTTATCTAAGGAATAAATTCAATGAGCCCAGATTCTTGCATCTTCCCTTACAGAGAAAAGTGTTAAAATCATTAATTTGAGGTGTCTGCTTTTGTGATTAGCAGTAATAAGTGCAGTCACTCTCCCACTAGGACGGACAATCTGAGAATATGGAACACATGATTTTTGGTTTTGTTACTCTTTTGGGTGAAGGTGAGATTTTTCTGAGCTGGGTTTTAAGTGGCAGAGGGAAGCAGATTCCTTTTTTGCAACTTTTCATGGTCACTTGGGAAAGAGAAGTCTGAGACAGAAGATTGTCTGAAGCCAGACAGCCTCTTTCTCCAACCTGAGCTTATCTCCTTCAGCCTTGAGAAAGGGCCCTCCAGTGGATATCAGGGCTCTAGGCCATGTGCTCCACACCCCCTCCCCCACCCATGTTTGGGTCACAAGATGTGGCTGAAGAAGACAGAACCACAACCCTGGCTGAGTTTCAGGCTCTGGATAGCAAAGGTGAAGTTGAAACTGAGCAGGACCCTGTGGGGCCCTCCTGGGCACAAAAGCCTTTCTGTGTCCCCCGTTTCTTATTTGTAGGAAATAGGCTTCGTTCAGCCTCCTTGACCTTCCCTGAGTCAAAAGGGCAGATTCAAACAGTTGCTAATCAAGGGAAGGGAGAAGAATGCGGAAACAAGGAAGGAGCTGTCAATAAACAATAGTGCAGTGTTGGGGCAGGGTCCTAGTTCCTCCTCAAGGAATATACATAACAATATCTTTGAGTTCTTCTGATGGAACTAAGGCTCCAACCCAGGTGGAAGATGGTAAGTTCATGCTGAGCACAAGATTCCTGGAATACTGCCCAGTTTCCTCAGCACCAACCAATCAGAAGAAAGTCACACACCCTGCAGCCCTCACCCCAAATTTTGCCTATGAAAACATCCCCCCCCCCCCAGAAAAGAACAGAAAATGAAAAAAGACAAAACAACTTTTCCTCCTAAACCATTGAGGAGCTCAGGGGTTTTGAGCATAGGCTACCCATTCTCTTTGCTTGACCCTGCAATAAACGTTTCTCTGCTCCAAACTCTGATGTTTCAGTTTATTTGGCGTCTGTGCATCGGGGACACAAATTGTGTTCAGTAACAAAGTCATGATAAATCCAGGGAAGAAAAAAAAAATCATTTTTAATGAAAAGGCCCTGGTCGGCTTTGAAATAGGTTAAGGGTGACATATAAAGGAAGGGGGCAGGGCACAACCATTAAAAGAATGACACAACCATTAAGAAGAACAGGAAACTGGTTAGAACTTACTAGGTCCAAGATGGCGGAAGATTCAAATTCCAGTAGACCTTGAGCCTCATTATACGCTCATTGTAATATATTAGCATCTAAATGACACACCCACAGGTGCCATGACAGTTCCGAGGCCGACCATAAAAGGCCGAAACGTGGGCGGTGGCCCAGTTCCTGGAAATCTCTGCCCTTTCCCCAAAATAGTTGGAATAATCCTCCCACTCGTCAGCCTAAGAAATTACCCAACTCATAAAAGCTAACCACTCCCACACCTCGGGGCCACTCTCACTTTCTAAGACCCTGACCTCATGCCCTGGGGTCACCTCTCTTGCCTTCTGAGATGGCCCATACTCTGTCTATGGAGTGTGTATCTCTCTAAATAAACCTACTTTAACTTTACTTCAGCTCCCTCCTGAATTC